GCAACAGGAAGACAGGAAACAGATCAAGTGCCCCTCAATAGGGACTAATTAAACAAATCCATAACAATGATTATTATGTAGGTGTAAAAAAGGAGGAAAAACTCTATCTCGATATGGGAAGTTCTCCATTTTGATATGTGAAAAAACAAGGTGGAGGTTGCATAACATGGTGAACACAATGTCACTTAACTGTACATATGAAGAATGTTGAAACAGCAAATGTTTTGTTACATATTTATTTACCACTATAATAAAGAAATAAAGCATTACTTTAAAAAAAAGGTGGAGAACAGTATGCATAGTACACTACGTTTTCAAATAAAAAGAGGAGAGGAAAATAAGAATTCTGTAATGAATAAAGAAATCTTGGAAGAATACACAAATCTAATAAGGTATGTGGCTGGAACTAGGCAGATGCTGAGGATGGGTTGGGAGGAGTACTTTTTACTGTGTATTTAAAAAAAAGTTTTCAAAAGTTTGAACCTATCCAAAACTTAAATGAAAAATGGCCTCTTTCTTGCTTTGAGTTTATACTGTTCTTATATTCCATTTTAATTAGCTGTGTGTGATAGCTAACCTGGCCCACCACAAAGACTTACTGAGTACTCTGAGTGCTGAGTTCCAGAGGGGACACAAAGACATACAAGGCTCAGTCCTGAGACTTCTGGTGTTTAAAAGAAAAAAAAAAAAAATTTATATCTGTAAACAAAAAAGCCTATTCAAATTAATTTTAACATTAATGATGTTTGTTCTTCAGTTACAAAGTCTACTAGGACTGAAATGTCACTGTATGAAAATACTGTTTTAAGACCACAGGAATCTCCCAGCACAAAGGACAATTCACAAAACTGTGTGAAATCCAAGCCTCATCCCATTGCCCAGGCAGCTAGTGAGAGTTCAGGCTGGAGCAAACAAATGATTATTGCTGTCCGTGGAAATGTACACGTTAACCTAGCAATGACTTTGTCAATAATTACCATCTATTTACTTTGTCCACATTGGTGCTTAAACTGTAAAATCTCAGGAAGTAGAAGTCTGCCAGAAACACAGGATATTCATAATAGGAAAGAGTGGAGTAGTAATTATCCATGCTAGCCATGGGCTGGTAGCACCGGGAGGAGGGCTCGGATGCAAAGGTCTAGAGGCCTTTGGGTACATTAAGGTCTATGAAGTCAACAAAACCTTGGTGTTCAGATTCAGTTAGAACCTTAGGGGTCTGAAAAGAATAGAAATTGCCCCACTATTTAGAGTTTGCTTCCACAAACACAAGAAATTCCACTCAGTCTGTCCAACTAGCCTTTTGGAAAGAAAAGTCTTTCCTCACACATTTCAGGGCATTTAGTAAAAAATCTATGTGCAACCAATGTGTACACTTGGAATAGCACTGGACAATTATTTACATCCAGAGTCTAGTCTCTGCCTCTGTCCCCCTGCCACCTCCAACACCCACCCCTACCCCCTAGTCTTCTTTAGAACTGAAAAAATAAGTACCACCACAAAGACATGGATGAACCATGAAAATGTTATACTGAGTGAAGTAAGTCAAGCACAAAAGGACAAATATTGTATGATCCCACTTATATGAAATATCTAGAATAGGCAATTGTAGAGACACCAAAGTTTATTAGTGGTTACCAGGGGCAGGTGGAAGGGGAAAATAGGGAGTTATTGCATAAGGGTACTGAGTTTCTGTTAAGGATGACTTAAAAAAAAAAGAAATGGATAGTGGTGATGGTTGCACAATATGGTAAGTGTTCTCGATGTCACTAGATTATACACTTAAAATGGCTGAAAAGCAAACGTTTTGTTACATATATATATATTTTACTACGAGGAAATTTTTAAAAATTATCTTCAAATTTTAGTATTACAGGATTTTGGAACTATAAGAGATCTTAGAGATAATCTAGTCCAATCCTATTATTTTATGATAGTTTTGCTTACAGGCTAATGCTGCATCATGTATAAGAGTTCTCAAACCAGTTAAAGAAAATTTTGTAAGGCAGAACTGTCGACACAAATCCAATCTACAGGATTCATGTATTTTTGCTTTAGACCACAGACTTCTATAGTTGATACTGAAATTTTTTAAAAAATCTATTATGTTATGAAGATGATTATTAATAACTCAGCAAAATGTACCAACAAATGGGAGGTTTGAGATTTTATCTGAAAGGACAAAAGAGTCTGCTTATATCTATATCTTTATGGGAGGACACTGGAAGTTTCTCTGTGACTCTCTTTGTATTCTACTTAAAATGTCTCTAAGGTTATATGTCCTGGAATCAGACAAAACCAAAAAACCAAACCAGTTGTCATGGAGTTGATTCCGACTCATGAGGACCTCAGGTGTGTCAGAGTAGAACTGTGCTCCACAGGGTTTTCAATGGCTGTGACCTTTTGGAAGTAGATTGCCAGGCCTTTCTTTCGAGGCACCTCTGGATGGATTTGAACCACCAACCCTGGGGTTAGTAGCCAACCTCTTAACCATTTGCACCACCCAGGGACTCCTTGGAATCACACCACTTGGGTTCAAAGCCCCAGTCTGACTCTTAGCGGCCCTGTGTCCTTGGGCTAATTGTTTACTTTTACCTACAAAATAGGGATAATCATAATACTTTGCCATAGCATTATTATAAGGATTAAATGAGGCAATTCATTCAACAAATAATTACTGAGGGCCTTTTATGTGCCAAGCATTGTTAGGCACTGGGGACACAGCAAGTAAATGCGTGTAAAAGGTACTTAATAAACCTGGACTGTTTTTATCTAAAAGCACATACACACAGGCTTGGGGTCCTATACAGGATTTAAAGAAGTTTTAAGCTGCAGAAACAGGAATGAATTATTTATCAGGCCTCCAAGATCATGGAGTTGAAATGCTGATGAACATACAATAGTATCCAATTACAACAGAGTATTGTCTGATCAAGGATCAGAAGCAAAATACACCTGTTGATTGACTCAGTGTGTGTATTGAGCAAATTATGCAGCATATTAATTAATATTCTAAACACTAAGACTAGTTATCAAGTGTTTTAACTTTTCTTCCAAAGCACCATCCATAAAAACTGGGAATGTCAATTACAGACATGAAGAAAAAATGAAAGTATGAATACGATGGCTAGGCATTAATGTAGGTGATACAATATTTTTTAAAACAAGGTTATTTATTATTTTCTGAGTGGATTAACAACCCTGTTCCACCTATTGGATACTTTTGCCTACCTCCAGAGTCACATTCCCAAAAATGCATGTTTTTATCAGCTTTTAAATCTGTAATGATGATTTTTTGCTGTGCTTTTTAAATGAGGATGCTACTCCTAGGATATCTGGCACCTAGCAGGGGATAAGAGAAGCCAGGATAAAGTGGTGTATCTTCTTGAAGCATCAGTTTTTCCTCAAATTTTCACATTGAAAACAACAAGAATATAATATGGAATAGAATACAAAATCCACCTGATTTCATAAAATAAAACATGAAACATCAAGGAAATTGCTCCTCACACTGGCTTCTTCAGAGCACATGGAGGGTACAGAGGCCCTCTCTGCTTCAGGAGAAGGGTTGGCAAACACAGTACATTAGGAGTGATTTTCTTCCATCTTTTCATTTTGTTGTCAACAACAAGGCTTTTTTTTTTAATGTAGTTTTTTGTTGTTATTGCCTATTTTCAAACTTTCTATTGCTTTCTTTGATCTATTAAAGCTAGAAGTAATGTTACGACAATGTAACATTTCTCACAGTGGCTGGCCTTTGAAACAGCATTCATGAAAACCCTTTGCTGTCTATCCCAAATAAGGTGGTAGACGTTTCTGTTATTGGAATTAGTTACCAGGGTGCTAAAAGAAGACCTGCGAAAAGGAATTAACTAGAGTATAAAATTCTCCCAAAAGTTAGCCTTGGAGAAGATTGTAAACTAGCTTGAAGGCATTTACTTAACCTTAAGAGCTTTGTCCAAAATGTTAGTCATACAAAACGCAAGAAGTCGGCTGTAAAACCCAGTCATTCTTTAGTCCATAAACCTGCTTTTAATCTTTTCGCGGTGTTGATCGCTGTCAGAAATCATCTCAATCATTTGCTCAACTTTTTATGACTGCTCTTCCACCCCACCCCCCGAAAAGCTGGGGTCACGTGTATCTTCAGCATCTAGCTAAGAGCCTAGAAAATAGTAGGCGCTCAAAATATATTTATTGAATTTCTTTTCAAGATTTAGTGATGACCAATTTTGTATACATACATATTTGTCAAGAAATTATAAAATGAGGACGGGGAAAGCATATTTGGCATCTTCAAAAGTGCAGGAACCTATCTGATGGAGTGAATGCCCATCTGTACTCTCCGCAAAAACCAGAAAAAGCAAACCCGTTACCGTCGACTCTATTCCGGCTCATAGCGGCCCTATAGAACAGAGTAGAACTCCCCCATAGGGTTTCCAAGGAGCTGCTGGTGGATTTGAACTGCCGACCTTTTGGTTAGCAGCCGAGCTCTTCCATTTGCAAACGCTGACCCGAGGGGAAGGGGGAAGGTCTTGTTAGAAAAGTGGGTTTCAAGTCTCCACTTAAGACCAGAAACTACTGGTTCCCAGTGAATTTACACTTTTATTATCTGATATTCTGTACTTTTAGGGAGTGAAATTGGACCTACTCTAGAGACAGTAGATCTCTTTTAGGAGCGTGAGGCGGCTAACCCTGTCAGGGATTTAACGTCAATTCCGTGCGGTCAAATCAGCAGACCCAGTAACCCCAGTCCCGGCTGTCGGCCTCGCCGGTTGGGCAGCGTCGGTGGCGGAGCGCACCCGCACGGCCGCACCCTCGGGTAGAGTAGCACTGCACCCAATTTCGGGAGAGAATCTCCCTTCGCTCAGGGTTCGACTCCCCATCCTTCGGGGAGGAATCCGCGCCCTGCCAGACGGGGCCGCACGAGTAGCGCCTTTTGGACCCCCGCGGGGTGTAAGCCAACCCGAATCCGGGGTCCAGGACGGGTTTGGGGTCTTGCTTACCATTGCGGAACTTGCTGCTGTCGCCGGCCTTGTTCAGGGCGCTGCTGGAGCAGCCCATCGCGGCGCCGCGGTTGCAGACAGGAGGGCAGCCTGGTCCGGGGAACGCAGCCACCTGTCCCCGCCGGGACGAGTGTTCGCCCGCGAGCCCGGGTCGCGCGCCAACCGTGCACGAAGACGCCGAAGTTCCTCCAACTCTACCCGCCCGGCTCTAGAGGGCGCTGAGCGCAAGCGCACAGCGGGGCGCTAGGGTGAGGGGGTCGCACCTGCAGAGAAAAGGGAGCTTGAGCCGGGAGGGGAGAGAGGTGTAGAGCTGGAGGGCAAGGAAGCAGGACAGGAAAGGGACAGGTGGAACAAAGAAGTACGGTGGCAAGGTGGAGAGTATGGTAAAGTCAGAAAGAATAAAAGGCACATGAAGCAGGAGAAAGGGTGTTGGGGGCAAGAGCTGGGCGGAATCATCACTAAATAGCCAGGGATAGAGAGGCGGAAGCGGTTGGGCCCAATGGCTATTGATTGGTGCCTAGATTTGCAATGACGGTTTAATTCTCTTACATAACTGCAGTATAATTAATCACAAGGAAGTTTAACACTGATACTACTATTTAATCCACCCTCCATATTCAACTTTTGTCAGTTTTCCCAATAATTAGTATATACAGTCATTCCCCAGTATCCACAGGGGATTCTTCCAGAACTCAGCGGTTTTTCCACTATGCTCAAGTCCTTTATATAAAATAGCATAGTATTTGCATATAACCTCCACACATCCTCCTGTATACTTTAAATCATCTTTAGATTACTTATAATACCTAATACAATGTAAATGCTATATAAATAGTTGTTATACTGTATTATTTAGGGAATAATGACAAGAAAAAAAGTCTATACATGTTCAGTACAGACACAACCATCGTAGGCCTAACTACATAGTACATGTCAGACACTGAGGTATACAATGCTCAGAAAAGGAGTGCTGGAGAGAGCCTGAGGATCTGTGAAACGGGGGGAGGCTACAGCAGGGTATGCCTACACATCATTTCATTCCTGTGGATTCAGCATAGTGCTCACGTGCAGAAAATTCAGGTTTTGCTTTTTGGAACTTTCTGGAATTTTTTTTCCCTTAATATTTTCGATCAGCGTTGGTTTAATCTGCAAATGTGAAATCCTCAGTTATACAGGCCTGACTGTACGTACATATATATATATGATGTATGTGTGTACGTATATACCTATGTGTGATTCTAAGGTCCCTGTGTGGCAGTTTGTGCTCTGCTGCTAACCTAAAAGTTGGCAGTTGGAACCCACCTAGTGGCACCGTGGAACAAAGTTGTGACAATCTACTTCCATAAAAATTATAGCCAAGAAAACCCTATGGAGCAGATCTACTCTGTAACACATGGGGTTGCCATAAATTGGAACTGACTCCATAGCAATAGTTTTGGGTATTCATATACGTATTTCAAGATCCAATCCAGGATCACACATTGCGTTTAGCTGCCCTGCTTATTTTCCCTTAATCTGGAGCAGCTCCCCAGTCTTTGTGTTTTATGACCTTGACATCTTTAAAAGAACAGGCCATTTATTTTGTGTAACATTCCTCAATTTGGATTTGTCTGATGTTTCCTCATGATTGTATTCAGGCCATGCAGTTTTAGGCTGGAATACACATGTATGATATTGTATGCTTCTCAGTGCTTCCTACCAAGAGGCACATTACATCCCTTTGCCTCATTATTGGTGATGTTAACTTTGACCATTTAGTTAAGGGACTGTCTGCCAGGTTTCTCCACTGTAGTTCCTATTTTACTCTTGTAATGAGCAAGTAATTTATAGGGGGATACTTTGAGATGAAGTAAATATTGTTTCTCATCAAACTTTGATTTAATTTTTTTTTGTATTTTTTTTAAATTGTACTTTAGATGAAGGTTTACAGAGCAAGTTCATTTCTCATTAAACAATTAAACACATTGTTTTGTGACATTGGTTACTGTCTTAGTCATCTAGTGCTGCTGTAACAGAAATACCGCAAGTGGATGGCTTTAACAAAGAGAAATATATTTTCTCACAGTCTAGTAGTCCAAATTCGGGGCACTGGCTCCAGGGGAAGGCTTTCTCTTCTTGGCTCTGGAGGAAAGTCCTTGTCATCAGTCTTCCTTTGGTCTGGGAGCATGTCAGCACAGGAACCTCAGGTCCAAAGGACACGCTCTGCTCCCAGCATGGCTTTCTGGGGGTATGAGGTTCCCATGTGTCTCTGCTTGCTACTCTCTTTTATATCTCAAAAGAGACTGGTTTCACACACTATCTAATCTTGTATATCTCATCAGTATCACTGCCACTAACCCATTTTATTACATCATAGTCACTGAGTTTACAACACATAGGGAAAACACATCAGATGATAAAATGGTAGACAATTATACAATACTGGGAATCATGACCTAGCCAAATTGACAGATACTTTTTGGGGACACGATCCAATCCATGACAGTTGCCAACCCTATGATGTGTCACCACTTTCCTCTTCTCGACCTTGGGTTCCCCACTAGCAGCTTTCCTGACCCCTCCTGCCTTCTCGTCCTTGCCCCTGGGCTGATATGCCCATTTAATCTCACTTTGTTTTATGGGTCTGTCTAATCTTTGGCTGAAGGGTGAACCTCAGGAGTGACTTCAGTACTGAGTTAAAAGGGTGTCCAGGGTGATCTGCTAGTTTTAGCATACACTGATATTCCTGCTTGGATCCATTATTACCATGATTGTTATCAAACAGTGTCTTTCTAATTACTTTACTTACCGTGTATTCTGGTGTTATTAACTGGCATTCTACTTGTAAGGAAGAGCTTTCAGTTTTCCTTCACTTATTATTCATTTATTTTGATGCTCAATTTGCCTAAAATTTAACCAGTGGGGGTCTCTTCTGACATGTCTCCCTTGTCATTCTTCGAGCATTTATTTCCTAACTTTCTGGGACATCTTATATCGATGACTTCATACTGTTACTCCAATTGCAATCTAACACCAAACACCACAAGGTACATTCCAGTCCTACCCCGTTCCATGTTTTTAAGTCCCTTTTCCATCAGTGAGAAACCTGGCTCCCATTATCCCCAATATATTTAATCATTTAGTCAGTCCTAGAATATATAGAAAGTAGTTTGAAAATTGCTCACTCATACCATTGCAAAAAACAAACCTACTAATTAGACTTCAATATTTGTTTACGGTTCTTTTTGTCTTTAGGCTAAGGTATTGTCAAATATCATTCAAAAGTTTACTTGGGTTAGGTTCCCTCCCACCTCAATTAGTATGGGTATGTTATTATCTAAAATACACTTGGGGGAAAAAATAAACACTTAGGATCATTTGTTTCTGCTTGAATTCCAAGCTAGAGTTTTCCCCTCATCCTTGTTTTTATTGTGGTAAAACATATATAACAAACCATTTTCCATTTTAATGATATTTTAAGTGTACCATCTGGTGACATTAATCACATTCACCACGTTGTGCTGCCACCACCAGTATTCATTTCCAAGTTTCACATTACCCAGAACAAAAACTCAGTACCCCTTCAGCAACAACTCCTCCCTGTTCAATATCTTACTTAGCATTTTTGCACTGATATTCATAAGTAATTTTATTCTGTAATTTTTTTGTGCTTTCTCAGGTTTAGATATCAATAAAAGCAAAAAAAAAAAAAAAAAAAAACCCACTGCTGTTGAGTCGATTCTGACTCACAGTGACCCTACAGGACAGAGTCGAACTGCCTCATAGGGTTTCCAAGGAGCGGCTGGTGGATTCAAACTGTCAACCTTTTGGTTAGCAGCCAAATGCTTAACCACTGGCACCACCTGGGCTCCTAGACATCACTACTTCATAAAAATAACTTTTAAGTTTTCCTTTATTTTCTATACTCTCCAACAAATTATGTAGCCTGGCAGTAAAGGAACTTTGAAAGACTGCTTCCCATGAAACCATCTGAGCCTGGTGCTTTCATGGGGGATGACAGTTCCTTGATTTTCTCTAGGGAAACTGTACCGTTTATAATTTTTCAATCTGGTCAATATTTATAAACTGTACTTTCCCAGGAAATTATCCAAGTTATCAATTCTCATATACTTCTAACATTTGCCAATGTTTATAATCATAGACTCTAACAATAAAAGTGGCTGGATACTGTTCTAGGAGCCCTGGTGGTGCAGTGGTTAAAGCTCTCGGCTGCTAACCAAAAGGTCTGCAGTTCAAACCCACCAGCTGCTCCTCAAGAGAAAGATGTGGCAGTCTGCTTCCATAAAGATTTACAGCCTTGGAAACCCTATGGGGCAGTTCTACTCTGTCCTATAAGGTTGCTGTGAGTCAGAATCAACTCGATGGCAGTGAGTTTGGTTGGACACCGTTCTAAGCACTTTTACAATTAGTCCTCATAAACAACCCTACAAAGGAGATGGAATTTTTACCACTTTTTATTACAGATGAGAAAATGGAACCACAGTGGTTAAGATAGCAACTTACAAATAATTTGGTCTAACCATCTTATTTTACAGCTGATGTGAATTTTTCAAGGATATATGGCTGGTTCCTGACACAGCTGTCTGGGAGATGAGTCTTCTGACTCCAGCCTAGGCTCTTCATAGACATCTATTTTCCTGTATGTTATGGGATATACCACTATGGTCTTTACCATATGGTTAGAGCTCCTTTCTTTCTTCCCTCTTTTCCTCACTCCCTTCCTTCCTACTTTTTTTCCTTTAATCCAGTGCAGCAGAGTTTGTAGCCTGGTGAGGCCAGGGAATGAAAATGTCAGTCTGGAGGACTTTTGATCTAAAACAGAAAGGAGTATAAGAGACATATTTTGATTATTACCGTGCAGAGAAAGAGTGGAGATGAAATAGGTAAACTTTATTCCCTCTTTTCCTCTAAGTGTTCAGAATTTTTATATTAGCACACATGTGTTCAGTTAGTTGAGAGACCACCAACATTCACTGAGTTTACAGTTACAAGTGTAATTACTTGGACTGTCTTGCCCTCTCCACGCCATATCTGTGAGCATGTTTAGTGACCTGGTTGACTGGAAAGAATGTGAAAGCTGTGTCAGACAAGTTGAGTTCCAAATTCCTAGCAGGCTGTTTCCTAATTGGAACACTGCCTAAGTAATAGTTGATGATAATGAATACGATAGTTTTAACTGTCTGACAATGGGATGGGCCAGTGCACTGAACCGATGAATAACAGATGAACTTGTATTTGCTCCAACAGGGAATGTAGCCTGTCACCTTTAATTCTCATAGCAAGTAAAAACTGGAACAATAAATGCAGGTGCCTATAGAGTTCTCAGAAACAGTGATGCTGGTGAAGGAAAAATAAAGGGGAGACTTGTGTTAATTCTGTCTTACCACATTTACCTGTTGGTGTTCTTTCAAAATCATTCTGAAATGCTAGACTAGCACTGGAAAAAATAAAATGGCTGGATGGCAAAGTCATTTTTCAAAGCATATACATTTCCTGGCTTTTTGACTTTCAAATTTATAAAAAGTTGAAAGAATAGTACAATAAACAATCATACTGTACATGGCTGCTTTTATGCTGCAACGGCAGAGTTGAGTAGTTGTGATAGGGACTATATAGCCTGAAAAGCCTAAAATACTTACTATTTGGCCCTTTATAGAAAAAGTCTGCCAACCTCTACTCTAATAAATACAAGTCTGGAAATACTTGCCAAATCTTCAGGAGCCAAAGGACTTACCTCTCATTTTTACATGGCAAGTATGGGTGTGTCTCAGGAAACTGTTTCTTCCTTTAGAGTATAGGTTTTTTTGATGTGAACCATTTTAGGAAGTGTGGGTGTGGGTGGGTGACTGCGGTGGGGAAGTTGGTGGGAGGCAGGAGTGGGACTGAGGAGGAGAACTAGTACCCACTGTGTGACTATTCTGTGCAGGGCACTGTGCTAGGACCATTACATTTACTATGATCCTCACAACACAATGAGGTACACGTCATTATTCCTGTTTTATTGTTGAGGAAACTGATGCTTAGAGAGGTTAGAAAATTTGCCCAAAGTCATGTAGGTATCAAACAGAAAAATCGAGATTTGAGCTCACTCATCTTCAAAGAGATACAGTGGATTCAGCTGAGATCCCCTAGGAAGAATTCTCAAACATTTTGTGATCATGATTCATACGCAAAATGAGTGCTTTGAGCTTCTCTGGCTTCCAGTACATAGTAAGATGCCTGAGAGAAAGCAACCAGCCATGGTCTTGGGAGATGTTAATAATGCTGCCAATAAAAAATATCCTTGTTCACAATCTTTGAGCAGCTGTGCAACTATCCCTTCACGACAGAGACTCTTAAAGTTCAACTGCTGAGACGAAAGATTCAAACAGCACAGAAGGAAATAAAATAAAAAAAAATATTTTCCCATCCTATTCCAACCTCCAACCCCACTTCCCAGAGGAAACCACTGTGATCTTATGTATCCATACACAAAAGGCTTATGTGGGTATGTTCATTTTATGTTTTGATAGACATTGCTAATCTGTCCTTCGAGGGTTGCTATTCTGCTGTCATAACATATCTAACTTTAATCTTTCCAGTGGCGATTTAATTTTAGTACCTTTATTTTTTAAAGTCCCACTGGCACTGGAATCACTGATCAGCACGCTTCTTCCAATGATGAAAACTGAGGGAGCTTCTCCCAAGGGTTCTTCCGTAATTTAAATAAAATTCTGGGGAAAAGACTAGAATAGAAAGTAAAATTTTTAGTATAAAATTTCTTAAAATTCTACTCTAAAGCAAACCTCCCAAACTGTTTAACACTCAAATCTTCAATGTTCCATTTTAAAATATTTTTCTCATTATTCCCCTCAGGTGCGCTATATTCCAGCCAAACTGTACTAGCCACTCTGATTATGTCCTCGTAGGCCTGCTTCTGCTCTTCTCTGACTGGAATGCATTCCTCTTAATTTCAGTTAATCTTGGAGTCAAGAGGACCTAACTTCAAATCTCAGCCCTTTTAACTATCTGTGTAACTTTCTGTAAATTATTTAACCAGTTTTCTCTGTAGTTCTATCCCCTATAAAATAAGGATGATAATCACGTTTATGAGGCTACTGTAACCATTAAGGTTTGTGAAACGTACATAAAATCTATACAAAAGTTAATTATTCTTTAATATTATTATCCTTAACAGGTTCAGATAGATAATAGGCTCTTTAAACAGGGACCACGTCTTGGTTATCTCTGTGTACACTTAGTGCCTATAGTGATGTTTTGGATTTCCTTGGTGGTAAAATTAGTTAAGCACTTGGCTGCTAACTGAAAGGCTGGCAGTTCGAGTCCACCAGAGTTGCCTTGGAAGAAAGGCCTGGTGATCTACTTCCAAAAAACTAGTCATTGAAAACTCTACGGAGCACAGTTCTACTCACACACACGGGGTCGCTATGAGTCAGAACTGACTTGATGGCTTTTTTTTTTTTCGGTATAGTGATGCTTTATATAGCACAGAAATTTGTTAATTATATTTGTTAAAATTAATAAACATGTTATGCTACTTGTTTATACTGCCTCCAGGCATTACGCTGCTAGGTCTCTGAGGGCATCTTATATGATCAGGGCCTTATACAGGACCTGGCACAAGGTACCATTTGTGGAATGAATGAACATGTTACGTCTTTCACGATAATTTCATATTTATCCATAGCAGTTAAAGTTATACCTAAGTTGTTTTTTTTAGGCCGTTTTCTGACAAGATCCTTGAGGGTAAAATGTATCATAATTTTTTTGATATTAAGTGCTTAACAAGAACGTTTGAAAATAGAAAAAAATGCATACCTGAAGGTCTAATGTGACTGGTAACTTTAAACATTTCCAACTTGTACCTGCAAAACGCAAGGAATTGTAATGAAAAGTGCTCTTAGCACTGTTCCTAGTACATACTAGCTATTTACTTATTTGCTTATTTATTTTGGTTCCCTATCTCTCCCATTCTTCTCCAGGGTAAGATGACAGTAGGGAAACCACACGCAAAACTGCTTACCTACGGGTCTGGTTATATACTGCGGGGTGAAGGGGTGTGCTTTCAGCGCCCAATATTTTGCATGAATCGTCACTGGGCATTTACGTCTAACGTTCACAGAAAAAAGATTTTTTTTTTTTTTAAATCGGACCTGTTTAATGCCGTCTGTGCAAATTCGGCTAACAAGTGCACACTGAAACGATCACAAGAGACGAGTTTAAGAGAGCTCAGGGCGTCACCGTTCTCCGAGGGACCTGCAACTTCGGTGAGCGCAGGAAAGTTGACGTAGCTACTCCTACTCGGCAGGACTGACCACCGGGGGAACTCAGAATTCCGGCGGAACGCTCCCAAAGTCTTCCCAAGAGGCGCGGCTTCCGGCAAGGATGAGGTCAGCTGCACACTACAGGACAGTGGTCGCAGTTGCGGCCGCTCCTTCTTACCGCCCCTCCCATCGCACCCACAGCCGGTTTCTCCAATCCCCGCCCCGTCCGAGGTTCTTTCGTTCCTACGCCCGCAGCTCGGAGCAGCAGAGCAACACAGCAAGAAGCTTAAGGCCGGCACCTGGAGGAACTGGTACTGTAACCTAGCGGTAACAGAAGCAACCAGCAGCTACCCTCCGCTTCTTGCCCGCCCCTTCCGCACGCGGTTTACTTCCGCTTCCGGTCCCGGAGTCCCTGCTCAGCCGTGAAGAGCTTTGCATTGTGGGAGTTCCTCCCTTTCTCCCTCCCCGGCCATCTTGGCGGCAGCTGTTGGTGAGTGGGCTCCACCAAGAAGTGGTTTAAGCAGTGTGGAGAGCATTGCAGGTGCCGTTTGGGTTCCGGATCCTAAACTTCCTGTCTTGTATGTTCTAGGTTGGGGGCCGTCCCGCATCTAAGGCAGGAAGATGGTGGCCGCAAAGAAGACGGTGAGTGAGGCGGGCCAGGGCTAGAGGTGGATTCACGTGGAGAGATGAGGCCCAACTGGGGCGGGCAGACCTGGGCACACCGGGGAGACAGCATGACCGCTGGCATTTGGAGGGCCCCAAAGGGAACCCGACAGGCCCTCCCAATGACTTGGGACCTTCGACTTTGGAGGCTTTATTAGGGGCTCAGGCTTCCTGAAATTGGATCCACTTGAGGTGGTTGCAGACGAGGTTTTCAGGTCTGTGTTAAATGCTTGCTTTGTAGAAAAAGTCGCTGGAGTCGATCAACTCTAGGCTTCAACTCGTTATGAAAAGTGGGAAGTACGTTCTGGGGTACAAACAGACTCTGAAGATGATCAGGCAAGGCAAAGCGAAACTGGTCATTCTCGCCAACAACTGCCCGGCCTTGAGGTAATCGAAGGAACATGAGTGTGTCGCCTTGCCCGCCGCAGATTTATCGTGAGCGAATATCCAGGAATGTAAACTTGTAGTCTGGGTAGCATGAAACCGGTTTTATGTAAAACTTGTTTCGTGAGCGAGTACTTGCAGAATAATTATTGCAGTTGCTGTTATGGTGTTTGTGTCTTGATCCCCCCCCATCCATTTGCTCTCGTTGTCTAAGCTTATCTTTGGCAGAAACGTAACAGAAGGAGTAAAAACCACAGAATGTCAGAGTTGAGGAAAGATGAGAACTTCAACATAATTTTTTTTCCGTGTATTTTGTATCATTTTTTTGGGTAATTTTTCTTTTTTGGCTGTTCAGTGCTTAAAAGGTGCTTCATTGTATGAACTTACTTGGTTTTGTGTAGTAAAGGCAGGTAAGAGTTCAGGCTGGAATTTGACAGAATGTGAGTTGCAGACTATCTTAGAACACTTGGTTCAGCCCATTGTGTTAATTGTCTGGATCCAGGCTTTTGCTAAACATAATGTTTTGGAATTTAAGTTAGTGGGTGTTGTAAATAAGCTAAAGGAACTTAGATCTTGCAGACTATAAACCATGAAATTTTCCCTCCTAGCCCATCGATTTTTCTATGGTAATGCATAATCTGCTTGCAGCATTTTATATCAACTGTCTGTGTTTAAGTGCCAAAGCCTCAAGTGCCCTTCTATAGCAGTGCTTCTCAAACGTGAATGTGCGTATGAATCGCATTGGTGATCTTGTTAAAATACAGGCTCTGATTCAGTGGGTCTGGAAAGGGGCCTTGGATTATGCATTTCTAACAAGCCGTTTGTAAACACTGTTGCAGGTTTGTGGACTCAGTGGCAGAGTTCTACAGGACTCCTTTCAAACTCTTAAAACCATTAGTTATCTGTGTCCACTTAGTTGACACAAATTAATACACTGCCCAGTGTTAATTGTTTGGATAAGTAATCATATCACTCCCCATCTAGGATTCAAGGCAGCAGAGGGTGATAGGAATAGCTTATCTTTTAAAGTCATGGGTGTGATTCTGGATTCTCCACTCATTCTGAACCTAAATTCTTTTGTTAGCTTAAGAGAAGGGGAGTATATAATACCTACCTTAGAGGTTGTCATGGATGTAAAGTGTCAGGCACATTGTGAGTAAATGTTTCCTTTTTTTTTAATTTTGCACTCTACCCTTTTTTCCATGAGTATAGATACTGTCTTAAACATAGTAGGTGTTCAGTAGATATTTGCTGGTTGCCAAGAAACTGAAAACCTGTATCTTGTAAGGGGTCCATTATATTGGTTAATGTGTATGATAATGTGTTTTTAAGAGTAATACATGGTTTAGTTACTGTTTAAAGGCCTCGCCAACATTAAAACTAAAGAGAGAAGAAATAACATCCTGTTAGGCACTTGATGTGGCATTTATTTGCCTTTTTTTGATTCCCAAAGGAAATCCGAAATAGAGTACTACGCCATGTTGGCCAAAACTGGTGTCCATCACTACAGTGGCAATAATATTGAATTGGGCACAGCGTGTGGAAAATACTACAGAGTATGCACACTGGCTATCATTGATCCAGGTATGCTTTTTAATTCATAGACTTAGTTTTTTTCATTCTAATGTAATACAGGTATTTGCTATATTAAGCTCTTAGGCTCCTGAGTTAGAATTTGGATAGCAAGGCAGTATGCTATAGTTTATTTCAGAGAATTAATGAATGTATCAGTAGATTATAATTGGCTTTGATTGTTAAAAATTGTTTTTTGTTTTTTTTTTAAAACTTTGAGAATATGAATTTCATTTGATGAAGAACCTAGTGACTGTGGAATTAATGGTTTATGTTGGATGGGAGAAACTGATTTAGTTTAGCTACGTCTGAAAAAGAATACAGAAATTGTGGGTTGTCAAAATTTAAAAAAAGTGCTTGTAATAGAAAGCTATGTGTTTGAAGACTAGGAACTTGGTAAAAGGTGGAACTATAAAGGAATAAATAATAAGATGAAGTAAGTCGAGGAAAATAATTTTTGCTGTCTGGGAACAGGCAGGTAAAATTAGGTAGAGAAAATAAGTACCTACGAATATATGTGTATTTTGAATTTATGAAATTTTAGTTAATTCATAATACTGCGAATATTCTCGCTGTCCTGATTTTGTGATAATCAGGGCAGGCTAAACATTCGCTATAGTAAGACCATGCATGTGTCCCCAGACCTAGTTATTTCTCTAGGTCTGGTTTTATAAATGCTGGTGATAAACCAAGTCTGATTTACTATATGACCATCTTGTGTAGGAAACGGCTGAGACTCTAGGTATTTTTGTTCAGGCTTCAGAGAAATGACAATATAGCTAGTCAAAAAATGTGAAAATAGCCAGTGCTAATTTTCAGAGCTATGCTTAAAGAAGGCATAAACAAAGAAGGGAAACTTTGTGATTACCAGTTGCCATTAAATGAAAAATTACTGTGTTTTGTTTTATTTTCCAGGTGATTCTGATATCATTAGAAGCATGCCAGAACAGACTGGTGAAAAATAAATCATGTAATATTTTTCTTTAATAAAACTGGCTAGAAGTTGTTTAAAAAACACTATCTGTTTTCAGTTATTTTTCTTTTTATGTTTTTGTTTCAGTACTGTTTCATGAAAGTAGGGTTAGAAAGGGTGAGGCAGCTAGATGTGGTGACAAGACTTTTGGGCTAAGAGTTATAGATCCCAGTTTCAGGTTTCTTGTTTTGTAAAGGGAGTACACCAAGTTACTTTTCAGAACTAGATTTTCAAGAGACTTAATTTTCATAATTGCTATCTCAGGACATTGTTGGCATTTTACATTTGAATATGCTTGAGAGGCAGCAATACCCAGAAAACAGAGTCGCAGTCCAGTTTAAATCTGCAGATCTGCGTAGCAAAGAAGATTAAATGAATCTATTTCCCCACCCCCAAAATGCTTGCATAAACTGAGAAAAATTTTAGCGAACTTAAATGAAGAAGGAATTTAAGAGTATGCGCTGGTAGGGGTAAAAGAAATGTACTTGGACATCTTCAGAATAATCCTTGATTTTAAATCAGTGTTAAAGCCAAGATTGCCTGAAATGTGTTCTATAGAATTTTAGTCCTGAAAAATCACTGTGCAGTGGGTTCAGTGTTGTGGTTTTTGGGAAACTGCATACTGCATCTCCCAAGAACATGTCTCATGGAACCCTTTTCCCACATCTGATAACATCCTTTGGAACATACAGAGAAATTAATTTGGCGAGAAGTAATGATTTAGTTACGTTCAAAATTGACTCATTTTCTTGATTTACATAGTTGAATGGGTGTGTGTGAGTGCGTATACTAGTTGGGTATATCCTACTCAGTTAAGTATGTTTGGTTAATAGAGGCTACAGAAATAGAAAAAACAAAAAATTTCTTCCATGTTAGAATCGATCTGTCTCTCTTTTGCAGGCAGTTTTTGGTGGTAGAGAAGTGAGATATAAAAATGAGGATGCCTTCTATATACTATCTAGAAAGGCAAACATATACTGTAAAGCAAACCCATCCAGCGGCCTTGGATTTAGAGTCAGGACTCTACCTTTTTTTTCCTCCAAATAATACTGTTTTTGGTGAAATTTTACACAGCAAGTTAGATTTCCCTTTGACAATTTCCTCACAAATTGATCAATGACATTAGTTACATTTTTCATGTTGTGTCAACGGTCTCATTGATTGTGTTCTTGGTTGTTCCATTTCCAGTACTCTAGTTTCCCTGTCCTTTCATCTTTGCTTTGGATTAAATGTTGATCTTTTGGACTCACAGATGGTTTTTTTAGTAGAGCGCTGATCTAACAGGTAATATCCTTTATTTTGTATGTCACTCTCCTGTTAATAAAAGACAATCTTGGGATAGTTTTGGTTCAAGGTTTAAAGAGCGTTTCACGGCAGTAGTCTCAGGGAGTCCTCTGGTCTCAAGTCATCCAGTTAGTCTAGCCAATTTTAAGAATTTGAGTTTTGTTTTGCATTTTCCTTCTATTCTAACCAGGATCATCTGTTGTGCCCCTGGTCAAACTGATCAGTGGTGGTAGTCAAGCACCACCTAGTTCTTCTAGTTCCAGTAGTTGAGGTCGTGTCTCACGTAGGCTGTCAGCCTTGTAGATTTGTTTCTTCTCTGATTTTGGTTACTGTCTTACTCTTGGCCCTGATGAGTATAGACCAATAGTTGTTGTATCGTAGATGGCTGCTGTCAAGCTTTTAAGACCCTAGATGCTACTCCACCAGGATGCAGAACATGAAATTTGTGAGCTGATTATGCCCTGGTGGTATAGTGGTTAAGAGCTACGGCTGCTAACCAAAAGGTCAGCAGTTTGAATCCACCAGGCGCTCCTTGGAAACTCTGTGGGGCAGTTCTGCTCTGTTTATAGGGTCACTATGAGTTGGAATCAACAGCAGCAGGTTTTTTTTTTAAATACCTATCCTTACGTGATCCTAGCTTTTCGGGTTTTTTTTATACCCATCCTTATGTGATCCTAGCCTCGTTTTTCCTTTGTTGTAGTTGTTGCCCTCTTACACATGTCAGACTCTTTGGTACAGGCATTTTCTCGTGAGTGCTTCTCAGTGGCATCATTTACTTTGGTCATGCTGTGCTCACTACACCCACAGTCAGTGCCACTTTTCCCATCACCAAAAAAAGGGATCATACAGGGGTTCTACTTAATAGCTATGTGACAACCATGGATGAGTCAAATCCCCAGTTTGACAGGTGAGGGAATTTTCTTTCAAGTTAACATGGCATCATTGTAGTTTGTATTTCAAGTTCATCTCTGAGGTTGTGGATATAATTTAGAGATTGGTCGTTCTTAATTAGGGTTTTCTTACTGATTGTTCAGTTAGTATTTCTCAGTTTGGGAGTACTACTGACATTTTGAGATGGGGCAATTCTTTGTTGTGAAGGGCTGTGGCATACTGCGGGATATTTCTCATTACTAGTTTTCCTTTCATGTAACAACACTCACAAGTGCCACTCCTACATTTCTAGAGTGGCACCTCTTCTGATTAGGAGCTGCTGAGTTACTTGGAAAATTCTTAAAGTCCTAAGGTCTTTATGTTTGCATATCCAAAGACTAGTATGCTCAAATTTTTTTCAAATGTTCTTTATCCTTAACGTGCAGTGCTCACTCAGTCAGACTGTTGGTCTGTAATACTGTTGGACTGTTTTCATAATGTTTTAGTTTCTTGGTTAAAGAATTTTGTGTTTACTATCCACTGGTTTATTATACACCCTATCTCCATAAATTGACTTTTCACACTATTCAGGTTATTTTTGGATGATTTTTCTCTCCAGGTTGACTACTTCCAATTTCATTTTTTAAGGGGTGGTGGTGACCTGAAGAATTTAACATTGTGGATGCCAGTGTACCATTATTTTGCAGTTTTTCTGTTGCATGACTTTTTGCAGACATTTTGGAATGGTTCTTAGAAAATTTATGATTTTAGGGTCTTCTAGGGAGCCCTGGTGGCACAATGGTTAAGTGCTCGGCTGCTAACCGAAAGATTGGCAATTTAAATCGACCAGGTGTTGCGCAGGAGAAAAATGTGGCAGTCTGCTTCCATAAAGATTACAGCCTTGGAAAACCCTATGGGCATTTCTATTTCTACTCTGTCCTATAGGGTCCCTGTGAGTCAGAATTGACTTGATGGCAATGGGTTTGGGTTTGTTTTTTTTATGTAGTGATAATATGCTATAAAATTATTTGGCTTTTACCTTTTGCTTTCATGTACTTTTTGTGTGCTCACCAGTGTTTCAGCGAGAAAGGGGTATAAAGCTCAGAGAAAAGGAGTTTCAAGCTAGCAGATAGGAAACATGCATTGTGGCCTGAGACAGCTGTAATGAAGTGCCATTAAAGTGCTGTCAGTGTTCAGAGGAGACAGTGCCACTGGCCAGGAAGATGAAGGAAGGTCTAAGGTGGAATTTTTATTTTTTTCCCGCATATAAAAATTCATACATAATTGTTATGTAACTCGGATTTTTCTCCCCACATTGTGACAGCACACTCCTCCCTTCCACCTGATTCCTCATGTCCGTTCAACGAGCTCCTAACCCTCTCTGCCTTCCCATCTCACCTCCAGACAGAAGCTGCCCGTTTAGTCTCTTGTATCTATTTGAACTAAGATGTACACTCCTCACGAGTATCACTGTATGTCTCACAGTCCAGTCCAATCCCTGTCTGAAGAGTTGGCCTCAGAAATTGTTTTAGTTCAGGGCTGATAGGGAATCGGGGGGCCATGCTCTCCAGGGTTCCTCCAGTCTCAGACCATTAAGTCTGGTCTTCTTAGTAGAATTTGAGTTCTGCACCCCACCTTTCTCCTGCTCCATGAGGGACTCTCTCTTGTGTTCCGTTAGGACGGTCATTGGTAGCCAGGCACCATCTAGTTCTGGTCTCAGGCTGATGAAGTCTCTGGTTTATGTGGCCCTTTCTCTCTCTTGGGCTAATACTTTCCTTGTGTCCTTGTTGTTCTTCATTCCCCTTTACTCCAGGTGGTTGGGACCAATCGATGCATCTTAGATGGCCGCTTGCAAGCTTTTAAGACCCCAGATGGCACTCTAAGGTGGAATTTTTAAATGTTCTTTTCTGAATCTTAATTAGAGTAAAGTATTTGGCTGGGTAGCTCTGATGTGCAGGGGATTTGCAGGAAGTTCAGGCCAGTAGGTATTGGACTTATTCCATACTTAACACTGAAATACTTGGTAGGCCTGGAGATAGGAAAAAGTCCCAAAGAAGAGGTTGGATATTGTGAAGTGTATTAAGAATTGCCATCAGTATGGTTTGGTGACAGGAACAAAAGGGCTACAGAGAAGAAACCAAACTTCAGGCTGTTCATGAATATAAATAACTACAGTGGTTGAATTTGACCATTGGGAAGAGCATAGTGTTCTTGGAAAACAGTTCTCTCTGATCTGCTGTCTCCCAGCTCTTAGTTCCTGTGCTCCATCAGTGGCAGCTCTCTCTCAGACTTGTCGCTCCTGCCTGCAGTGGCATCTTGTTTCTTCCTCCCTCCCTTTGCCCTTCTTACCCCTACTTGCTCTGATGGCAAGCCCAGCATCTTTTTGCAGTCTAGATTAGGTGTCTGAGTTACCACAGAACCTTTTTGAGGGCATTAATCCCATCAGCCTCACTAAAGTTCTAGAGGGAAAGAACTTTTATTAAAAACTAGAGTGAACAATGACTTCAGGGTTTAAACATTTACTTAATACTCTTACTGATGTCCAGAATTTATCTTGTTGACAGTAGGTCTTGAACATCTTGTGCATTTACTGTTACTACCTCATGCCTGGTTGTTTCAAAAAGTAGAGGTGGGAATCTGCAAAAGTACTTTTCTCGGGTAAGGTGAGCAAAGAATTGATTCTGTCCCTTCACTCAGCAAACACTTACCTAAAGTACCATCTTTGTGCCAGGTACTCGGCTTCAAAGAATACAAATAGTTGAAATATTTACTGAGCATTTAAAATGTTTCAGATACTTTACTAAGCAGTGTACATATTAACCCATTCAATCCTCTCAACTGATATAAATGAGGAAATCAAGGCATGGGAGTGCACGTAAGTGATGACACTGGAATGTAAAGCCCTTATGTCAGAGATGTACAGGTGGCAGAAAGAAAGAGAATGAACTATTTCAAATTTTAGACAATCCTCAAATGAAATCTTGGCTTAATCTACAAATTTTGATGGCTTGTTTGGAGACCCTTTGTTTCTCCTGAAGATGCTTTCCCCAAGTTGGAAGAAAGCTTATTAGTTACAATGAATGTAGGCCTTTTTTTTTTTGGGAGCCACTAGAGGGAGCCTGGACATAACAGAACCTGAAGTAGAATTTGCTTCCACTGAAAGTACACAGGCAAAAGTGATGGCAACGCAGGTCAGTGCTTTAAATACTTCCTAATGGAAACGTAGACTAAGTTGAATGGATGACTCAAATAAAAATGTAAGTTCAATTTAATTTTTTACATAGCAACTTTTATACCTGGACAAAGGATCAGATGATTTTCAGATGAGATTGAGGCCTAAGAGATGTTCTTCCCACTGTGTCACACTGCCTTTTAGGAAGACATTCTGATAAAACGTGTTGAAATATTTAAACATAGCTGGAAGCTTATACAAGGTGTTTGTTGTGAAGCATCATTTGGACCCCAAAATAGAGTGGCTTCCATGGGAAGGATGTCATTTTGGGTATCTTGTCTTATTGTCGTGTGTCTTGCTGCTTAAAGTGCTTCCCTGAGCTCATTGTGCCATTCATGTATTAATAATATTTTTCAAGTTTACTTGTTTTTAAGAAACACCTTTAATGATGCAGTTGAAGTCCCGTTTGACCCTGTATTCGCACTTCCTTTCCCAGGGACAGCCACTATTTTGGTGTATATCCTTAAAGACCATTTCCTGTTCTTAAATGTACATGTTTATGTGTCTACAATTTCTAGCAATGTTTGTGTTTTTTAAAAATTTTACAGAAATGATAATGCTGAACATATTCTGTCATTAGCTTTTTTAATTCATTGTTATGAGTTCTACCATGCACACACGTAGATTTAATGCATTCCTTTAAATGTAGAGGAGTACTGTGGTATGGAGTGCACCAGTTTTATCAGTTCTGATAATTAGGTTGTTACTTTTACATATTCTATTAACCTTCCTATACAGGTATCCTCCCATCTATGTGCTAAAGTCTTCTAGGTAAGATATCTGTAAGTGCAGCTCTTAGAGGGTTGTGTGTATTTTCACTTGTAGTAGGTAATAGCAGATTGTTCTCCAGAAAGACTACCAATTTCCACATTTTTACCAGTACTAGTCAAACATACTAATTTTTGCTAAGCTGATGGGTGATACCCAAAAAAATCCCATTGCCATTGAGTTGATTCCGACTCCGAGTGACCCTATAGGACAGAGTAGAACTGCCCCATAGGGTTTCCAAGGCTGTAATCTTCATGGAAGCAGACGGCTGCATCTTTCTCCCTTGGAGTGGCTGGTGGGTTCGAATCGCCAGCCTTTTGGTTTAGGCAGCCGAGCGCTTAACCACTGTGTCACCAGGGCTCCTGACGTGTGATAAATGGTATTGTATTAACTTGAATTTTCCTGAATACCCATGAGAGCATCTTTTCATATGTGTATAAGCCATTTCTCTTGTATACATATCTTGTTGAGAATTTTACACAAAATACCATTCTCTGAAGTGTGAATTTTAATACTGTGTAAAAAAAAAATCCAACTTCTTATACAAGTACATACGTCTTACAATTTTATGCATACATCCATATACATACATCAAGGTAAAGCCCAGTACAAAAAATAGCTTTTCCTATGGCCAGTGTTCTACAGAAGTAAGACTGCAAACGTTATTTTGTAATCAAATGAGATGGCAATACTCTAATGCAGGAAGGGGCAGAAGCAAATCATGTCCACAGTGTATTACAAAATACCTTGCATAGCTTATTTATTCTCACTTGGTGAACTCTGTAAGTTTCTTTCTCTGAATAAATTTATACAAATTAGTGTCTACTTTTTGTCTTTGTTCCGTACCAAACCAGCTTTTTCAGTACTAGTTGTGCTTGCTTCACAACATTACAGACATAATGATAGCCTGAGCTTTGGGGCTCTGAGCTGCTTTTCTTGTAATCCTTGAAACAATGACAAATACAAAGAACAAAGCATTTCCAATCTTCATCTATATCTCAGGCGATTTTCCAGGGCTTCCATTCTCTGTGTCATTTCTTCTAGTAAATCTCAGATTAAGGAAAAAGAATTGGAATTGCCTACTTTTATTTACATTCAAATGCAAGTTGATAGATCTACGTAAAAATTTAACTGTTTTGAAAAATAAAAGGCTTTGCTTTTTTCCATTTCAGTCAAGTTATTTTAAAACCCTGGCATGTAAGTTTAGAGTAACTCATTTAACATCTGCTAATAAATGCTTATATTTCAGGTTAAGTACTTTTTAAACATTATCAAAAGTCAAATAGCTCAGTTTGAACTTTCTTTTTTTCTAATATTTTAATTCCACTGCACACCCCTGTTCCTTGTACATTAGTTTGTCATAGCACACCTTCAGGAGCCAGCACTGATAAGGTTGGGAATGTGAAGAGAAGGAAAGGATTAGGCCTTGAAAAGTGAGATGAAGTCAGACGAAGGGAGATGGGACCAGATTAGGCCAAGGAGTAGCAGCCTTGACTTCTGACCTATGTTCCTATGCATTCCTTAGTGTCTTGTGAAGTGCCTCTGTGAAGTAGAGATAATCTTCCGGAGGTGCGGGTGATAAAGGGAGAGGAGAGGGGCACTAGGATAAGCATTTGTCTCCCTCTCTAAACTGAATACCCTCCACCTGCCCCCTTGGTAGCAGAATGAAAGCCCAGCTTCTATGATCTATATTAACCAGTGTAGGAAAGATTATTTTATTGGAAAAAAAAGCAAACCCCTTGCCATCAAGTCAATTCTGACTCATTGCAACCCTGCAGGACAAAGAACTGCCCCATAGGGTTTCCAAGGCTGTAATCTTTACGGAAGCAGACTGCCACATCTTTCTCTCGTGGAGCAGCTGGTGGGTTCCAACCACCGACCTTTCAGTTAGCAGCTGAGTGCTTAACCACTGCACCACCAGGGCTCCCTTATTTAGGGGAGCATACTTCCAGCTTTCAGAAAGGGAATTGATATATGCTGTTGTTCCTCATGTAAACCCCACTGGCACAGAGGAGTTTCAGAATTAAACCTTCCCTATAGATGAGTTGATGCACATTGAGATAGATAGTAGCCAGCTTTAGTAAGCTTACTGTAATTTTAACTTCAGAGCAGTTGGCAGGGTGTTCAATGTGTAGAAGCACTGAATCCTTATTTCTCCATTATCCCAAAGCATTCCTTTTATTTGTAATATTGTTTTAATGAATCATTGGATTCTGCTGTTCCCTCGGTAGAATGTTTCATCTTTTAGAGTGCTGACATAAAAGATCTCTGCTGCCAAAAAAAAGACAAAAACAGTCCTCCAGAAACTACACACAAACTCCAAATGTGACTGCAGTGCTGCTTGGGGCTAAAGGAAAGGTTGGGCACTTAGACTGAGTCTGAAACCTCTTCATTCTACAACATTCTTTGCCTGTTTATACTATACCTTTGATGCACTTCAGGCCTGGTATATACCCTCCCAGCAGAAAGGGGGTTAAATAAGTCTGTTTTTTCCTCTGCTTTGCATGCTGACCCTCCCCAACTGGGCTTATTATTAAACCTCTGCAACAGCAGGTAGCAACTAAGTGTGTGACCCTTGACACTAAATTGTGCCCTTGGCTCTGAAATACCTCTGAGGCTGCTTTTTGAAGTAAAAAGTCTTTCCCAGAGGATTCACTATTCTTGACTTTATGGAAATGACTATTTTTTTTATATACCCACATATAAAATTTGTGAAGTTTTGATAGTATTCTCTGCATTCCATACAGAAGCATAATTTAGAAAAGGATATAGCGCTGAGTTAATTTTCTTACTTCTTCATTTGCAAGGTTCTGGAACATTATAAGGTTTTCACATTTGCATTGATCGTGTTTTTCTTCCAAAAGGCTTCCTGAGAAAGCAGATGGAAAATGTTCACCTCTTATCCACCAGACTTCCCAGACACATAATAACAGGACCGAATCAGCATATAGAGCAAACCATAATGAAATAAATGTTCAACTTTTTCCCTGCAGGCAGATCCAGTAAATACCAGGAAAGGGCTGTGTATGTTTCCAACACTGGAAGTGGCCTTTATTGTGGATTAGGGGGAAGACTACTCAGTTTCTTAAATTTTTTTTTTTTTCCTCATTTTACTTCCTTTCTTCTCTTTTCCTCTATTCTGTTTCTTGGTTTCCCCTTCCTTTCCTCCTTTAAGCTAAATTTGCTGACAAGCTGAAAGGCTGGTATCAAGTTATGGTAATATTTTACTTGGAATTACCTGAAGCTTTTGTCGACTGGGAAAGTTTTTGTGTAGACCGTGAAAGATTGTCTTCTCCAAACAGGTATCTGTGTTGCACTGCAAAATTCGAACAGGAAAGTAGGTCTTGGATATTTATGGTGACTGGCTCAGATTCTGTAAAGAGAAGGAAAACTGAAGTCAAACCTGCCTAACGCTGTTGTAATAAAACAGCCATCGTAGATTAAGGTACTTGTATTTTGAGCACTAGGTACATAGTTTTACTTTAGGAAATACTGTGGCAAAAAGACTATCAGCAGAGATGCTAGTTACTAAGTATGGCTTAAAGCATAGAGTAACTGCTATGTGATCGAGGCAAAAAAAGCCATAGTTAACATAAATCTTACTTTCAATTCTTTACAACTTTATGGAGGGAAGTCATAGTGAAAGCATCTGCTGAAGTTTCTGAAAACACGGCTTTTTAAAATTTACCTGTTGGCTGGTGGACCATCTTTGGCATTTCCCTTGCTGGGGAGTCCTGACTTCCATCAGAGTCTTCCAGAGCTGAGAAGAAAAATAACCAAAAGGACTGACAGTTACCCACATGAATATGTCCTTCAGGAAGCTGTTCTCAGGCCACCTTCCTACCTCCTTGCCATAACCCAGGGTATTTTTAGTTTGGTTTGGCACCACCAAAGATCAAAAAAGCAATCAGTGATAGCAGTAATCCAAGACCACTCTAGGGCAGATCTCTCTAGTAAGAGATGCCTGGACCCCTTAAGTGAGTTGTCTTACTTAAGAATGCCCCCAGAAATGTCATGTCTACAAGGTAGGGCAGGAAAAAAAGTTGTGCAGTGGCAGCAGTTCCACTATAGGCATTTCACCTTGAAGACAAAACAGTATCTACTCACATTAGATAGCTGAAAGGGCTTCCCTCTCCACTTCCCTTCATCTTAGTCTTTCCTTCTAGAGGGGTAAGATACATGACTTAGACTGGAATTTTACTGGTGACTGAACCTGGGACATGAGTAAAAGGAAAAATGAGCTTTGGGCAGAACTTCTGTATGGATGCATGCCCAGCACAAGTAGTGAACTGGAGAAAACAGAAGCAAGGAGAGTTTGTGTCCATAACAACATCTAAGTTCTAAAGGGCAGCCTAATGCTCTGTAAGCAGAAGTAGTCCATGCAGGGCTGGATGAGGCATTCTTAAAAAGTTTCTAACAATGGCTTTGTGAGGACTACTACCCCTTTCCACTCCAATTGAAGGCATACCCTAAAATTGTGCATCAGCTCTCCTGAGAGATATAATGATTGTTTTTTAGTTAAATGATCACTCATACAGGGTTTACGCTGATGTGTCCAAAACATTACACTGATCGGTTTGTGGGAATTCATTGATGGAGCTGTATGTTTATGATACATGCACATTCCTGTATGTACAGTATAATAAATTTTTTAAACAAAAAAAGTTACCACACTGCTTGGCACAGAGAAGTGCTCAAGCACTGTTAGTCATTATTTTTTGGCTTCTCTTCTTCTCTCTTCTGATCCTCTTTCTGTGCCTAGTGTTTTCAGATATTACTGATCTGGCCCACCAAGCAGGCACTTTCTCGAGCACTTTGAAGGTACGGGTTGAGAATTTTTTGTTCAAAAGTTCATGCTGCCCTTTTTGCTAAGGTGTGTTCTAGGCATAAGCTCTAGTACCTTCACATATGCCCTTCTTTAGTTTTTCACTTATCTCGCCCATTGTGCTGAAGTCTTCTGTATAGAAGAGATGCTTGTCTGTGGGCTCAGAGGCAATCTCCTGTAGTTCTTCCTCAATGGCTTTTCCAACCCCAACAGCATACATAGTTATACCTAAGGTGCAGAGCAAATTAAGGTGTTAGAGTTGTGGTCCCAGGGTCTGAAGTTGTGTGCACTATACCCACAGCCAGCTAGATGTTGAGTGGTGTGATATGAGGAGCCCATGTCCACTTCTCTTTTTATTTTTCCACCATTTTTATTTTGACTCTAGGAGAGTTGGGGAGCTAAACCACCAATCTGTTTGCTCAGTTCTGGGCAGGGTCATTTAATCTTCAACTTTCCCTGAATTAGCCTTCAGGATAAGTAGAAAAAAGCACTAACCTTATGGCTTACTACATGGGAATCTTTTCCGGAAGAACTCTAAGAATACGGGCCAATTATGGTTTCTACTACTACAAGGTGCAGGATAGGAACTTTAAGTTGGCCTGGGACCAAGTGAAGCTGCATTCTGCCCACACCTCTTGGAAAGACAGCCTTGTGAGGAGGTGCCAAGCTGAAAAGGAGAATCGGCAGTCCATTGGAAATCCCCAAAGTCAGGAAAAAGATCAAACCTAAGCATCAACTCTGATTTCAAAAGGGATGTGAGGTTGCCTCAAAGGCTTTTCCCAAACAAAATTAGGCTTTTCCCCCATATACTACTCATTTGAAAGTAAAACACCGTAAGAGCTTAAGTTCTGCTTGATTTCCCACATTTTTCAGCACTGATATTCTGGCTAGTTCATTAGATTAGATTTTCAAAAATACACATAAAAAAGGCTCTTTAAGCCAAGGGGCAAGAGTTAATGTCTTGTTCTCAGTCTTTGAAAAGTCAATAGCCAATTTCAGCATATTTGTCTGGGAGCCCAGTGACTTTATACACAACTTCCTAAAAAGGATAACTACTATTTTAAAATTGTGTTAGCTACATATAGGAGAAATTAAATTCATTAGAGGATGTCATTTCAGATAAATCTTGTCGATTCAAGAACCAAATAAACATCTGTTTCTCCTACTACTTGCCTTTGGTTCATTTGTGGAAGTTTGAATAAAGGAAAGGGCAAAGTGGACTGATCTTCATGAGACAAATAAAAGGGCTAACCATGGTCTCCAGAGGCCAGCATACTTCCTCCAATACTGCAGACTAGAAGGGTTTATGAGCTTGACATAACTCTAGCAAGCTGGCCTGGACTAGAAAGAAGTAGAGGAACTGGATTGGAGCAGCCAGTTTTACAGTCCAACCAGATGATTCAGGACAGGAAACTTTGTTTGTGGCTGCCACTCTCTTGGACTAGGGAAAAAGAAGTGAATAGTGAGGTAATACCAATAAAATTACTTCCTTCACAAAGAGAGTGACTGAATGTCAACGTGAACCAGTCTTCTTGTGATGAGGCATGGAATTCATCGGTGGGATTGCTAGTACTTTCATTCCTTTGTTCATTCACTCACCAAGTCTTTGTCAGGCACTTACTATGTGCCAGGCCTGATGTAGGCACGAGTTCATAAAGTCTTGGATGAGGTGCTTGTCTGTGCATACCCTTTTCCCCTTATAAAACCAGCTGCCATCGAGTCTATTCTGACTCATGGTGACCCCATGGGTGTCAGAGTAGAACTGTGCTCCATAAGGTTTTCAATGGCTGAGTTTTCAGAAGTAGATTGCCAAGCCTTTCTTCCAAGGCATCTCTAGATGGATTGGAACTGCCAACCTTTTGGTTAGCAGCCAAACATATTAACTGTTTATACTACCAAGGGGCTCCTTTCCCCTTATAGGACCTGCTAAAGCAGTGTGCCCTGCACAAGCACTTGAAGAAAGTAGCTTTCAAACAGACTGCTTCACAGCCTCAAGTTTTCTTATCTCCCCAAGGAATCCAGAGGTGTCACCATACACTGTTTCTACCAACCATCCTAGGTTTCTGGCTTCCTTTTGCCAAGGGCCTACTCCTCTGCTGCACTTCACATCTGCACAACTATTGGCCCTCAAGTGTCTCCCTGCATTACACACGGGGTCAGGAAAACCTCAGAGAAAAGGCTGAGCTTTACTGAGCCACAAGTGTTTAGAGTCAATCTCTTCCAACATTTTGATTTTCTCAGAAGTTAAATTTTCCTTCTGCAAACATAAAAGTATTCTCTATCCTAAGGCTATTGTGCTTTCAGAGTACTCACTTGAAGTATTGGTTTTTTTAAAGAAAAGAATCAGTAGAAGTTCCCACCAGGAATGATTCTAAAGCAACCTGACCAGTGTTTGGGAACTGTTGGGAGTGTATTTATCTGTGGTTCAATAGCATGAGCAAGACTGAGTCTCTACACTGGTGGTCACGCTCTGGCTAGCAAATCACAGTAGATGATTACCCAGGTGTGGTCTGTGTGTGGACTAACCACTCTGCAAGACTTTCTAAGGCCTCTAGGTGGCAGTTCAGTAAAGGTGTATAAGGGTGATTGACAGGAAGCCTTTCCTCACTTGCTAAAGAATCTCACCCTGCTGGCCAGCTGTGGCTCCTAAGTTTTTAAGAAACCAGAATGTTTAGTGATATAAACCACAGCTCCATCCCATATTACCATTGGTCTTGGCTTTACTGGCCCACTCGGAGACGTCGTCTTGAGCCCGTCCGTCGGTGAACACGATGACCACTCTAGGCACCCGTGTGGAGAGAGGCCTGGCCCCTTCTACTTCGGTAAAACTTCTCTCAAACATGTGTTTCAGGGCCAGCCCCGTCATAGAGCCCTTGCCCATGTATTTCATGTGGGCCACGGCTTTTTTCATGTCTCTGGCCGAGTTGAAGCTTCTCAGGGTGAACTCTGTGCGAACCTGCGTTGAGTACTGGAGCAGCCCCACTCGAGCAGCTTTGGGGGAAATTGCCAAGGAATCTATAATTCCAGTGACAAACTGCTTCACGATCTCAAAATTCTCTTCTCCAAGGCTCTTGGATCCATCAATCACAAAGACCAGGTCAATTGGGCCTTCATTACATCCTACGGGAACAAAAGGGAAGTTGAGATGCTAAATAATAAAAAATGACTATGCATAAGAATAAAAGAAAATCATGCTTCAATTGGAGGCATAACCACTTTGAAGAACCACCTTTGTTCTTCTTTAGATAATACACAGGACAGATAAGAAAGAGGTGTGGGGAGGGTCGTGAGCAACAATAATTTCACTTTTGCCTCTATGTTTGGCATGTCAAATTGATAAAAATTGTATTTTTCACAAGCAAAAACACATAGCAGATGTGCAAACTATCTAGGAAACCAGGTGTATGCTGTACCTTGGTCACTGCCAGCCAGGTCTCAGAAGGACTGTATGCAGAGTATACTGAAGGGCCTGAAAACACTCAAAAGATTCCTATGACTTTACTCCAGGAGGGCAACATGACCCCAGTGCTGGCATCTGGCAGAAAATGGAGACAGATTCTTAAAATTCAGCTCAGTCATCACATCTTCCAAGGAGCTTCCCTCGTAACTCTAAGCTTGTATTAGTTACTCTGTGTGCGCCTACCACTCCTGATTCCTTCAATAGCAATTTACTTATTGAGCACCCGCTTTGTGTAAGGCAGTGGGCACAGCAGGATTGCAATTGTGACCAAGACAAAATCTCCAACACCAAGTTGCTCACAGTCTAGTGACCTACTCTATGTAGTACACACTCCACACTGTACAGTAATTGTTTAATTACTTCTGTCTGATCTGATTCCGATAGGTCACAGCCTTGAAAACCCCGTGGAACAGTTCTACCCTGCACACACGGGGTCGCCATGAGTCAGAATCAAGTCAACAGCAACTAATAACAACAACAACCTCCTCTAGTCTGCGAGTCCCTCCTTGGCAGGGACTGTGTCTATTTCATTCATGTACCCCCAATCTCTGGCCCACAATAGGTGTTCAATAAATGTTGAAAGAATACATGAATGAGGTGTCCATTGATTAGCACACCTGTAAGTACCTTACTGACCTATTTTAAAACTCCATAAGGAATTATCACTGTGAATTCTTTATCTACCCTGAAAGCTTCTCAGGCAACTCAGATGGTTGTCAGTAAAAGCCAGATAAAAGCTTTATGCAAATACTACAGAAATCTGGGTGTGAAGGGACTTTTTGTTATTTAGGACCACATAAGAAAAAGTTACAAATCTCAAACTGATGATCTCCTTTCAAATACAGTCTACAGCAAGAGATATAACGTTCTTTTTTATATATCAAGCAGCTATCTAATCTTTGAAAATGAAGCACAACAATACACACACACAAGATTTCCATGCCTGGACTGTGTAACATGCTAATATAATTGTGTGTGTACGTGTTGGGGGGGGGTGTTGGGTTCTTTTCTTTCTCCTTTAAATGCTTCTCCTCATTACCCAACTATTGATCCTTTATTAGTGAAAGAGGAAAAGGCCAATTCTGAGCTTCATTTACATTCATAGCTTGTTCTCAAATCAACCAAAAAAAGGCTCTCAGGTGGCATGCGTGTGGCTCTCCAACAGATTTCAGAAATAGTGGAATAATTTTCCAGTGAGTCTGTTTTCTCCTCTTCCCCTTATATCCTTTTGCTTTCAAAACAAAACCAGCACTTGCAGCCTCCACACACAGAGAGGCACAGGAGGCTTCTCCAGGAAACAAGAAGTCCAGGTGGAGTGGAAGAGCTGAGAAGTGCCCAGACATTTCCTTTCAGGCCGGAGGAAGAGCAGCCTACTTGCTGGTTGTTTGCAGGAGGTTCCTCCTAACTTTTCTTGGGCATCTTCTTTTTGGTAGTTAAGCTGAACAGACTTGAACGGAGCTGTGATTTGCTTTCAGAACTTAATTTTCACAGAGTTCCAGAATTTCGGCGTTGGACAAGACCTTTAGAAGTCATCTATCTAGTCCAGCTCTCTGATGACTGCATCCTCTTTACAACATCCCATCCAGTGGCCATTCAGCCTGGGCCCGAACACTTCTACTGATGAGGAACTCATTAACTGACCACAAAAGCAGTTGTCCTATCTTTGGGCAGCTCTGCTGGTGGTGATTATAATGGCTATCACCTGTTGAGCACTTAGTATGTGCCAGCACTGGGCAAAGCAACTTTAAATACAAGATCTCATTTATTCTTCATGATGATCCTGTGAGCTATTATCCTCACTTCATAGATGAGGAAATCAAGACTCTGAGAGGTTAAACAATCTGTACAAGGTCACACAGCAGTACAAGCCAGGGTTCAAATCCAGGTCTGTCTGATCTGGAGCCCGTGCTCTTCTAGTTAATCACACAGCTTCCCAGTTAGAAAGCGTCTTTGTCCTGGTGCTGCACTGTAGCTTCTCCTCAGTGTCCTTTCTTTCCGTGGGGTCATATAAATCAAGACTAATAATTGAGGTGACAGCCATTTTGATATTTGAATGGCACCTCAAGTCTACTTTTTCTACAAAGATCCACATTTCCTTCCTTTATTTCTCACCTAATGTAGTACTAAACGTCCTCACCCCAATGTTTATTCTCTCTAAATCTTGTCTGTCTCTATCCTTTTCCTTTAATTATTTTTTCCGTTAAAAATTTTGTAGTAAAATATAGATGACAAAAATTTGCCATTTTAGTCATTTTAAAGTATACAATACAGTGACATTAAATACATTCAGAATAACATTTTTAAACACATAGAATTAAATGCATAGGGTTGCAAAGGAAACCAATTATCTTGAAATGCAGCTATCAAAATGTTAACAAATAAATTTGTGATATACTGATAGATGCATTTATTAACCCATTAATTAATTAGCAAGAGCCAATGGTGGGTCTGATGGTGACCATCATTTCCCACAGAGATGAGTGCAGACTCCTGTTTGAGCTGCCTTGATTCTCTTTAATTTTTATTTTCTAAAAAATAATGCACATGAATAAAATTCGAACATTAAAAAAGGGTATATGTGTACCTATGTGTATGCATATATATACACATGTATGTGTGCGTGTGTGTGTATATATATATATATATATATATATATATATACACAGAGCCCTGGTGGTGCAGTGGTTGAGAGCTAGGCTGCTAACCAAAAGGTCAGCAGTTGGAATCCACCAGTGGCTCCTTGGAAACCCTATGGGGCAGTTCTAATCTGTCCTGTAGCGTCTCTGTGAGTTGGAATCAACGCAACAGCAATGGGTTTATATATACATATATATATAAAGAGAGAGAGAGAGAGAGAATGTATATGTTAGAGAAAGCTTTTTACAAAATACACCAGTGGTTAACTGTTGTGGGTTGAATTGTGTCCCTCTAAAAGATATGTTGAAGTCCTAACCCTCAGTACTTGTAAATATGACCTTATTTGGAAATAGAGTCTTTGCAAATGTAATCAAGTTAAGATGAAGTCATCAGGGTGGCCCTAATACAATATAACTGGTGTCCTTACAAGAAGAGGAGAAGAGAACACAGACACAGAAAGAACATCATGTGACAACAAAGGCTGAGACTGGAGTGATGTATCTACAAGCCAAGGGATGCAAAGCACTGCCAGCAACACCAGAAGTTAAGAACAGACTCTCTCCTAGAACCTTCAGGCAGAGCATGGCCCTACCAACGCCTTGATTTAGGACTCCTAGCCTCCAGAACTGTGAGAGAATAAATTGTGTTGTTTTAAACCACCCAGTTTGTGGTAATTTGTTATGGCAGCCCTGGGAAACTAATACAGTAATCAACTATACAAATCATTCAGCACTATCATGGATTGAACTGTGTCCCCCCAAAATATATGTCAACTTGGTTAGGCCACGATTCTCAGTGTTGTGTGATTGTCCTCCATTTTGCATTTGTAATTTTATGTTAAAGAGGATTAGGGTGGGATTGTAACACCCTTACCCAGGTCACACCCCTGATCCAATGTAAAGGGAGTTTCCCTGGGGTGTGGCCTGCACCACCTTTTACCTCTCAAGGATATAAAGGAAAGGCAAGCGAGCAGAGAGGGGGGACCTCGTACCACCAAGAAAGCAGTGCCGAGAGCAGAGCCCATCCTTTGGACCCAGGGTCCCTGTGCAGAGAAGCTCCTAGTCTGGGGGAAGATTAATGAGAAGGCCGACAGAGACAGAAAGCCTTCCCCTGGAGCTGACACCCTGATTTGGACTTTCAGCCTACTTTACTGTGAGGAAATAAATTTCTCTTTGTTAAAGCCATCCACTTGTGGTATTTCTGTTATAGCAGCACAAGATGATTAAGACAAGCATCCTGCTTTTCTCACCTAAAATATTTGGGGGATAATTCCATAACAGTACGTCTAGAGCCACTTCATTCTTTTAACAGCTGCATAGTATTCTATTGCATAGATGTACTATAATTTATTTAACCAATCTCTTATGGATGGACATTTAGCTTGTTTCCATTTTTTGCTGCGACCAATAATGGTACACAAAAATATCCTTGCTACGTGGCTTTGTGCATACATGCACACATCTGTAGTATAAACTCTTAGAAGTGGAACCGCATTTAAAGCACTGCCAAATTGCCTTCCCAAGGGTTGGACCAATTCAAACACCCGATGATAATTTATAATTGCCTGTTACAACATACCGTTGCCAAGATAAGGAATCATCAAACTTTTTGATCTCTGATAACTGATAAGTTAAAAAATGTATATTGTAGCTTTAATTTCTTATTCTACATCCCCCCCCCCTTTTTTTTTCCTTTGTGGCTTCTGTTTCATGTAAGAGTCTTCTCTACTCTGAGATTATAAAATAATTCTCTCAAGATTCCTTCCGCTGCTTTTGTGGTTTTACATTTTTTTGTTTAAACCCTTAATCCATCTCTTTTCCTGAAGTGCAATGCCCAGAACTGAATGTAATTCTCCAGCACAGAGTACAGCACAATCCTTAACTCCCTCATTCCAGACAGTCTTATTCAGCGGAAGATGACTCTAGCCTTTTTGCTGATAATGAACTTACTGTCAACTAAAACCAACAGTTTTTGTCACAGGTGCTGCAGTTAAGCTCTCTCTTCCCCATCCTGTACTTAACCCATACTCATTTATACTTACAGGAGAAACAGAGGGGAGGATTTGTTCCCTGAAAACACACCAAAAAGCAGTTGCTCCAAAAGGAAATCAAAGTAGAGAGCCAAGATCAGATCACTTACTCTTGCACCGTCTTCCATCCTCAGCTAGAACAAATCCCTGCGAGCATTTGCAGATGTATGAATTGCCATTATTAACACAAGTGTGTTCGCAGCCATGGTGGGTCGATTTGCAGACATCCTTCCCTGAGAAAAATGTAGGGAGTTGAACAATCCCACCGGTATAGAAATGAGCTGGACTGGATAGTCATGTAAAGAGAGCTCATGGAAGTAATACATTTTAAAAAAGGCATCTCTGTTCAAACTTCCTTTATAAGATTTTGTTTTATGGTCTAATACTCAGGATAGGCCACGATAAGGGGAAAACTCCTCCAGAAAGCTCTAACTTCCGCAAGCCCGAATGGTTAGATGGTTGATACAGTCTCCTGGATTTATTATTATTTTTGGAATTGTTGAATATGTTTTGGGTTCTGATTTTCCTAAGCTGCTGATCTTTTTTCCACAGACATCCCAAACACAGTGGCGTCACTAGGGTTGGTGTCACCCAGTGTGGTAACTCATGGTGTCACCCTCTCCCCACCATGGACCTCCTCTGGTACAGGGCCCCGTAGAATCCTTAGTAATTTTTTTTTGTTCTAATGTTACTCATAAATTGAAATTCCCATATATCACTCCTTCTTTTCCTTTAATTACTACTTCATTCTCAAAAAAGTTATTGATATAGGTTCATAAATACTAATTACCACAATATTGTAGCTAAAACACCAGAAAATTTGACAAAATCAGCAACTGTAAAAACATAGGCAGCAACAGAAACAACAGCATGTGCTTGTAGCGCAGGCAGACAAATCCATGTGATTTGAAGCAGCATTGTAGTTGGGTAATAGTAACAGCTCTGACTGGAGTGCATTAGAAGGTTCAAAAAATAAATTAGCATAGAGTTTCAGTCTTGTAGGTAGATTGATACATGTAGGCTGTGCTTATGAAAAATGTTTCTGTTGTTATAACTACAGAGATTTTTTATAAAAAATAATAAATTTCTGCTGAAACACTGCACAAAAATTTTACAGACAGTCATTTTGGTGACATCTCCTCTGACAGTGTCCCCTGGTGTGGTCCACATTCCCTGCACCTCCCTAGTGATGCCACTGCCCAAACACTCCAGTTTTTATTGTCTAATGAACATTACTCATGTGTGAGGTACTTTAAACTCTTCAAAGCAGTTATAGCCCTTAATACTCACAACATTCTGTCAGAGGAGGAAGGCAGGGGTAATTATACCCAATTTATAAATGAAGAAACAGACCCTCAAGAACTTTCACTGAGTTGGCCAAGGTCATCTAGCAAGCTGATGACACAGCTGAGGCACAATGTCTCCTGAATATTGACTCTGTGCTCTTTCCTCCTCCACACTGCGAAGGCCTAGGTTCTTTTCGGTCATTAGCTCTCTAAAAGGAGAAGCTTCCTACAAAACTGGAAGCAATGACTACAGATCCATCTGGGAAGTTAAGAATGGTGGAATGTGATTCAGCAATCAAATTCCACAGGCTGAAGTTATGCCTTGAGCAATAAATGTGTTGAATGAATAAATGCTCTGTGTGTGTGTGTGTGTGTGTGTGTGTGTGTGTGTGGTGTTTATAGAAATAAAAGCATGAACAAACTACTCAGGCTGATATAATGGGCAGAATTGTAGATGTGGTCTCCACAGAAGGGACACCCCAGTGTGAAGGCAAAATGTAGAATTGTTTTTTTAAATAATATATTATTGTGTTTTTGGTGGAAGTTTACACAGCCAATTAGGTTCCCATTTGACAATTTCTATACAAATTATTCAGTGAAAGCATAGAATTGTGCAGGGCATGCTGCAGAGTCAGGCTATGGTGCCACAGCCAGCCATGGCGCCAGCTGTCCAAACAGAACTCCTGGCTAAGGGTAGGAGGCCCTCTTCTTGGTAGAAGAATGAGGGCAGAGAGTTCCATCCAACTTAGCTTTGTTAACATGCAGAGTGCCTCTGTTATCTCAAAGAAGTTTGTGAGCAAATTGCCCAAAATCAACCTCAAAAGCAAATGGATTTATTTTGCCTTAATTGAAAAAGGGCCACTTTACCAGCCAGGGCAGCATGTGACAAAGCCAAGCAGACAATGTCAAAACCCCCAAAACGTAGGGAGTAAGAGCCAGAATCTCACAGAGGAGAAAAAACCCTGCCTGTTCTAATGTCCACCTCACTGAGCTAGTGTGCCCACATCTCTCTCTTCCTTTGGGTACCACATATCTTTTATCAAAAACCAGTATTATCCTTGAGTTGCCTTCCAACTAAATTCTCAGAGTCTGTTCTGAGTGACCTACACAAGCAAATAATGGAAAGAATGGATAAATTAAACCACACAGAAAATCACTTCAGCTCCTCTCTCTTCCTCTACCCCTACTTATAAGGTCTGCCAAAAAGAAAAAGCATTGTAATTATCCTTTTTCAGACCTTGTAGTGAATGCTGGCAGAGATTCTAATTCAGTCCAACGACTAGCCAGGCACTGTGCTAGGCACTGGGAATCCACATGTCTATCAGGAAAGGGCCAACACCTCCCTGCCACCCTCTCAAAAAAAAATTATTCTAGTTGCTGTTGAGTTGATCTGACTCATGGCAACCCCATGTGTTTCAGAGTAGAGCTGTGCTCTACAGGGTTTTCAATGACTGTGACTTTTGAGAAGTAGATCAGCAGGCTTTTCTTCTGAGGCACTACCGGGGGGATTCAAACCACCAACCTTTTGGTTAGTAGCTGAGCACTTAATTGTTTGTGCCACCCAAGGACTCCTCCGCTAAGAGAAAATGAAAAGAAGCGAAGAGCCTGACAACCCCAGCACCTCAACTGAGAAATTCCTGAAGAACTAGGAGTTGACTGATCTAATCCCTAGCAAAACACTTTCAGAGCACCAAAGGTAGGACCTTCTATTTGTGACATTAGTAATAAGGAAATATTTCAAAGATTAAATGAAGTTCTAGAACAATTTGGGCCCCACAGATGGAGGCTACTTACTTCTGCAGTGTTTCCCATCCTCAGTGAGCCGGAATCCTTCCAAGCACTTGCAGACGTAGGAGTCATCACTGTTCACACAAATGTGTTCACAGCCATGGTCTACGGCTTGGCAGACATCTTGCCCTGAGGACAGTGGAGCAAGTTAAAAAAAGTTTTACCAACATAAATTTTACATGGGCTTCATCTTGGAGGGTCCATACATTTCAGCCACTGGACTCTAGTACCACATGAGCTCAGTGATATATGGGGCAAAAAGTAAAATTGAGGATGAAGTGCATCTAATTCGGGCTAACTCTTCAAACTCTTCTCATGACCGTCAGCATCATCATTCACCACCTACTTCAGTGTCTTATAAAAATGAAATCCATCATCAGCCTTCTGCATGCAGAGTCTTTGATACTGAAGTGGAAACACTATTGGGATGATTACTTAGGAGATTAAACATCAATTTAGATTAGCGGAACTGAAATCTAATTTTGGCTTTGTCCTTGACATAATATATGACTGAGGAGAATCACTTAATCTCTTGGAGTCTCAGCTTTCCTGTTTGAAGAATGAGAGTAGTAATTCCAGTTACCCATCTTCTCTTGAAATAGTGTCAACATGAGTTGCTCTTTGCAACGTGCTTTGAGAAGCTTGAGAAATAGATGGCTGATAGGGATGAAAGTCATTTGCTCAGGGCTACACACTCCCCTTTGATTATACAGAGATGTGTCTTGAGTTTTGCACTGGCTGTGTACTCTGAGGATGCTTGTGGAAGGCAGGCTTGTCCTGGTCCCATCTAGGAAGTTTTCTTTATGAAACGTAAGAATGGCTTCACTATAAAGTGGTCTCCACGAGGGATTTGTACCACCACAATATTATTAAAGATAAGTAAACAGAGGCTCAGAGAACTTAAGCAACGTTCCCAGCGAGTAAATGACAAAGGCAGACTTTGAAATCTTGGGTTTCAGATTGTATATCTCTCTACTAGAGCATACTGCTAAAACCATTGTTTCTTGCTACAGAGCATAAATTACCAACTTCAGTTGTGGCTCTGGCATTGATTTTTTTTGTTTGTTTGTTTGTTTGCTTGCTTTTTTTCTTTTTCTTTTTAAATAGACTTTACTTACTAGAACAGTTTGATTTACAGAAAAATTAAGAAGACAGTACAGAGTTTCCATAAACACCCGACCTAGTTTCCTCTATTATTAACATCTTATATTAGTATGATATATTTGATATAATTAATGAACCAATATTGATACATTATTAACAACTAAAGTCATAGTTTATTTAGATTTCCTTAGTTTTTACCCAATGTCCTTTTTTAAAAAATTTGTTCCAAGAACCCATCCAAGATCACACACAACAGTTTTTTTTAATTGTACTTTAGATGAAGGTTTACAAAGCAAATTTGTTTCTTATTAAACAATTAATACACATACTGTTTTGTGACATTGGTTGCCAACCCCATGACATGTCAACACTCTCCCCTTCTTGACCTTCGGTTCCCTGTTACCAGCTTTCCTGTTCCCTCCTGCCTTCTTGTCCTTGCCCCTGGGCTGGTGTGCCCATTTAGTCTTGTTTTGTTTTATGGGCCTGTCTCATCTTTGGCTGAAGGGGGAAGCTCAGGAGTGACTTCAGTACTGAGTTAAAAGGATGTCCAGTGGCCATACTCTCCGGGTTTCTCTGGTCTGTCAGACCAGAAAGTCGGGTCTTTTTTTGATGATCACACACAACATTTAGTTGTCATGTGGTATTGGCTTTTGAGAGTAACTGATTTATTCTCCTAAGGAGCCCTAGGGGAGCACTGGTTAAGCGTTTGGCTGCTAACTAAAGGTCGGTGGTTTGAACCCACCAGCCACTTCATTGGAGAAAAATGTAGCAGTCTGCTCCCATAAAGATCACAGTGTAATGATTACAGCCTTGGAAACCCTATGGGGCAGTTCTATGAGTCAGAATCGACTCGACGGAAATGGGGCTTTTGGACTCACTCTCAGGATGGTGAATTTCATGCAGCACTAATCACAGTAATGTGAGCTAACTCCAATAAAAACTTACATCTGCAAGTTTTCCCATCTTCACGGAGGATGTACCCTTCAAAGCACTGGCACACACAAGAGTCTCCACTGCTTACACATGAGTGTTCACAACCATGGTCCCCCAGAGAACAAGAGTCTAATTCTGAGAAACAAATTGGGATTATAGAAACAGAGAGAGAAAAATGATTCATACATCAGTGATTTATTCAATCTTTAAAAACAATTCAGACACCTTAAATTAAAACAGTACCTTATCCTGTATTACACATTTCAGAATAGAAAACAAGTCTATGAGCAAAAATTCTTAATATATAAAGAACACATACAAATAAAACAATATAATCAACTCCATAAGGAAAAAGAAAATGAACAAAAGACAGATAATTCACAAAGGGAGAGATAGAAATAACCTATTAGAAAAAAGTTCAACTTCACTGGTTATCATATAACTACAAAATCAACTTATCTACATACCTATTTATGTATGTATGTGTGTGTATATTATACTTAGGTAATCCGTTCATTCATTTATTCATTCAGTCAATAAATATTTACTGAGTCCCTACTAGGGACTGTTCTAGGCTCTGGGGATATAACAGTAAGTTTCTGCTTTTGTGACTCTTACATTTGGGAGGGTGGTGAGTCGAAGACAAACAATAGACAAAGAAATACATAAATTGTCAGGTGGGAAAAAGTGCTACGGAGAAAATCAAAGCCAGATAAAGGGGAGAGAGGGTGCCTCTGTTCGGGGTTGGGGAGGGAGGGCTTGTTATTTTACATCCTGCAGCCAGATAAGGAACACCTGAGCAGAGACCCGAAGAAATAGAGGAAATGAGTGTGTGGTATTTGGGGAAAGAACATTACTGGCAAGGAAGAACCAAAAAACCCAAAACAAACCTGTTACTGTGGAGTAGATTCCAACTCATGGTAACCCCATGTGTTACAGAGTAGAACTGAGCTCCATAAGGCTGTAATCTTTATGAAAGTAGATTGCCAGGTCTTTCTTCCATGGCACCATTGGGTGAGTTCAAACTACCAACCTTTTAGGTTAGCAGTGGAGCACACACCATTTGTGCCACCCAGGAACCTCAAGGAAGATCAGTATTTGCAAACTCCAGAGGTAAGAGCATGCTTAGCATGTGTCAGGAAGGAGGTCAGTGTGATGGAGCCACCAGGAGTGGGGCAGGAGATAAAGTCAGTGAGGTCGGCAGGGCCAGGTTACGTGGGGATCACAGGCAGGGTCAGCTCTGCATGGGAAGAGGAGCCACTGGAGGGTTCTAGCAGTGGATGCTAGTTTTGCTCTGCACTGACTGTGCAGAGGGCTGTAAGAAGCCTACTGCAAGAACCCTGGGGGCTCAGACCAGGGTGGTGAGACGTGGTCAGACTATGGCTATATTTTGAAAGGCTGTTGTTGGGTGCCATGGAGTCAATTCCGACTCATTGCGACACTGTAGGATAGAGAAGAACTGACCCATAGGGTTTCCTAGGCTGTAATCTTTAAGGGAGCAGATCACCAGGTTTTCCTCATATGGAGCTGCTGAGTGGGTTTGAAATGCCAACGTTTCGGTTACCAGCTGAGTGTTTAACTGTTACATTACCAGGGCTCCTGGATTATGATTACATTTTGAAGGTAGAGCCTATAGCTTATATACAAGATTTGCTGATGGACTGAATCTAGGATGACAAAAGAGTCAAAGGTGACTCTGAGGTTGTTGGACTGAGCAACTAGAAGAATAGCATTGCCTTCTACAGGGATGGAGTGGCTTCTGTGGGAGCAGAAGTTTCATGAACCTGTGAAAACCAGGTGGATAATTTAATAGCTTGATACCGAGGACAGGTAGAGAGCGACCTTTTATAAGAACCATACACATGTTGGAGAGTTAATCACTTTACATTGAGTAGAATTTCTACTATAGATACACATTGAAGTTATTAAATAAAGGCTCCAAAACTCACAACCACTTTTATAATCAGGCACAAACCAGACACGATTTCTTCTAAAGCATCTTTGCATTATTTCTTTTTTTAAAGGGAGTCCTCAGAACCACCCTGTTGGGTTAGTTAAGGCAGCTGCTGTTACTCTCATTTATGAGCTAGGGAAACTAAGGTTTGGGAAAGTTAATGGCTTGCCAAGACCAAATGCTGATCAGCTATAGAACCAGACTAAAAACGCTGTATTTTGACAATAAATCCCATGTTTTTTCAACTACACTGCATTGCTATACTCTAAAGTAAGCTTTCAAAGATAGAGGAAATTTTGTCTCTCTCCCTTTGGGCAGAAACGCCTGCCAGTCTTTGAAAAATAGGAAAGTGTTACGTTAACTGAAATTATCCTTCACCAAAAGTGGTTTGTTGAAGTCTCCTATTATTGTGGAGAGGTCTATCTCTCTTTTCAATGCTGTTAGAGTTTGTTTTATGTATTTTGGAGCCCTGTTGTTGGGGGCGTAAATATTTATTATGGTTATGTCCTCCTGGTGTATTGAGCCTTTAATCATTATATACTGTCCTTCCTTATCCTTTGTGGTGGATTTTATTTTAAAGTCTATTTTGTCAGAGATTAATATTGCCACTCCTTCTCTTTTTTGAGTGTTGTTTGCTTGATATATATATTTCCATCCTTTTAGTTTTGTATTTTTAAGTCTAAGGTGTGTCTCTTGTAGGCAGCATATAGATGGATCGTGTTTTTTAATCCATTCTGCCACTCTCTGTCTCTTTACTGGTGCATTTAGTCCATTTACATTCAGTATAATTATTGATAGGTATGAGTTTAGTGCTGTCATTTTGATGTCTTTTTTGTGTGTTGTTCATAGTTTCTTTGTTCCACTTAATTTTCTGTGCTGAGTCGTTTCTCTTTATGTATTTTCTTTTCATCTTTTTCATTGTTGTTGATTTTTTATTTGCTGAGTCTTTTTCTTGTTTTTTATTTTGATGTGTAGGATTGTTAGTTTCCTTTGTGGTTACCTTAATATAACTGAAATGATAACTGCAGGAAAGAGTCAAAGTGGAGTTTGACCCTCCAGCTTGCTCTGAACATTACTTACTTCTCTGGGAACATCCTAGACTCATTATTAATGCTGAACATTTCCTGATGGCTTTGCATAACTCCTCACATAGAGTAAGAACAGAAAGTACAACTGAGGATCCATGATACAGATGGCTGGCTGGCTGAGGAGGTAAGCATTTTTTTCCCACCATGAATTTATAATATGAATACCCCACTTTCCAAGGTAATGAAATAGCTGTAACTGTTTCAGACTGGCCTTGTCAAACCACAACCCAGGCAGACCTCTCTGAGCCCACCCCTCCTGCCCGGAGTTTCCACAAGGCCCTGTCCTGCTCACTCAGCTCCGGCTCAGGTGTTCATCTTGAAGAGTAGTTGAGAATCTTCCCCACACAGAAGTGCCACTGACTCCCTGGCTTTCCCCAGCCACTGTGGTCTGAGTCTACATCTGGCTGATGGGTGCTGCTTTCCTTTAGCAAGAGCCTGCTGAGCTGAAGCCAGGTCAACACAGGGTCACGTTTTCACCCTTGGCTGTAGCTATCCTAGGAGCTCCCAGCCCAGTTTGAGTTCTCTTGGGTTGTCAAATGAGTAGCAGTTTGGAATTTGTGTTGTGTGCATGCTTTAAAAGCATATGGAGAGCTTTGACTTTTAATCTTTGCCCTCAGGATCCCCTCGGAGTATCTGATTGAGAGTAGAGTAGTGGTGGGTTCTTGACCTCAGATAAGCATCAGAATTGCCTGCAGAGATTTTTTTTTTAAGGCAAAACATACACATGATTCCAAATTCAGAGAAACTAAAGGGTATTCTTTCCCTATGGAGGAGAATCTGGCAGTATTACCAAAAGTTACAAAAGGTACCTCTGATCCAGCAACTTCACTTTTGGAATTCTCTTATAGATCCCCTTGTACCATATGAAGAGATAAATTTCCAAGTTATTCGCTGCTGCATTGTTTGTAATAACAAACAGTGGGAAACAACCCAAGGGTCCCCCAGTAGACAGGATAAATAAATATTCCACAGCATGGAACATTACGCAGCTGTAAAAAGAATGAGGAAGTTTTCTATGTAATGATATGAAGAGATCTCCAGAAAATACTGTTGGAAAGATAATTGTTGGGAAAAAGGAGCAGAGAACAGGGTACATAATAACACCATTTTGTGTGTGTAAGTAAGTGAAGAAAAAAAGAAAACATACTTGTATTTTCTTTTATTCACATAAAGAAACACTGGAAAGACAAACTATTTCTATGGTGTATTTTCAATTGCCTCATATGCATGCAAAAGCTGGACAATGAATAAGGAAGATCGAAGAATTGATGGCTTTGAAATATGATGTTGGTGAAGAATACTGAATATACCACAGACTGCCAGAAGAATGAACAAGTCTGTCTTAGAGGAAGTACAGCTAGAATGCTCCTTAGAAGCAAGGATGGCAAGACTTCATCTCACATACTTTGGACATGTTATCAGGGGGGACCAGTCCCTGGAGAAGGACATCATGCTTGGTAGAGGGTCAGCGAAAAAGAGGAAGATTCTCGATGAGACGGATTGACACAGTGGCTGAAACAATGGGCTCAAGCATAACAATGATTGTGAAGATGGCGCAGGACCAGGCAGTGTTTCGTTCTGCTGTACATAGGGTCACTGTGAGTTGGAATCGACTTGACGGAACCTAACAACAACAACAAAGGGCAAATACCAGTTGTCCGTAAGTTGGACGTTCCTAACCCAGGGACTTACGGCATTGAGTATTGAGCGTGAGCGGAAGACTAATAAATTGGAACTGACTCCATGGCACCTAACAACAACAGCATAAGTTATCTACTGCTGTGTCACAAGCTACCCAAAAATTTAGCAGCCTAAAACAAACATTTATTATCATACATAGTTTCTGAGGGTCTGAATTTTGAGACTGGCTTAGATTTGTGGTTCTGGCTCAGGGTCTCCCATGAGGCTGCAGTTAAGCTGTCGGCTGGGGCTGCAGGCATCTTAAGGCTAGACTGCAGCTGGAGAATTCGCTTCCAAGCTCACGCATGTATTTACTGGCAGGCCTCAGTTCCTCGCTGGCTATTGGCTGGAGGGTTTAGTTCCTCACCCACGTGAGCCCTGCCATCGGACTGCTTACAACATGGCATCTGGCT